TAGTACCCTTTGAGGACTTACCTATGTGAGAGGAACCGTGATGGCCGCGGTTAGGGGGGGCTGGGCTAACCCCTAGAAACTCTCATGAGTCGGTTTATTGTGAGCATGGCCTTTAACGCTCAACCCGCTTTGCTCAATAGATGAAGCGTATTGTGTGTGTTTTCATCAATACCTGATTAAAGGGGCCTAATTCAAGGCCTAGTCCATTATGTCCCTCAGGTGGCGATGAACTCACTAAGGAAAGGTTCAAAGCCGAAAGCTACCTTTCCCGAATTCACGATACGTAAGGTTGCCCAACTTATATTTGTTTTATGATTCTTGATTTATTTATTAATTTCTGAGTTTTCAGTCAATATTGCCTTTTTGGGGGGACTGTTAGATATTTTGTTAAGAAAAGACAATTTTGCCTTCATGAATAGTAATAAATTTTTTATAATTAAACCATGTCTTAATTAGCAAATTAAAATATGTGTAACGGATATATAATTATGGGGAACGTTACAAAATTTATGACGAACGTTACAGAATTAATTACGGGTTTTGTAACGTCTTTTCCATATATATATATATATATATATCCGTATATTGAGCTCAAAATGATAAGGAAAAAGAACAAGAAGTCTCTCTTGTTTTCTCTTCTCTCCCCTACATATATTATTTTCATTATATCTTAGTTTTATTTTATGGGCAACTTCCTTCATCTGAGCTGAAGCTCTGCACTCTCGCCCGAGTGTAGAGACCGGCCGTTTCCGGGGGTTTTTACCGTTAGGGGGGAGGAAACCATCTGCGCCAGGGCGATAGACGGGTTCTCAATCTTCTAGGGCAGTGAATACACGACTGCTCTCGTTCAGGCCAGTTTTAATTGTTTAATTTTCGGATTTATCTGCATGCTATAATCTTAATTATTTGATAAATTTCCAACAATCTAGAAAATTGATTATTTTAATAAGTTAATTTATAAATCCGAAATAAAAATAATTTATAATTTTCTGTTCATCCAGAAAATTAATCCAGAAAATGAATCTGAAATAAAAAAAAAGGTGTATGTATTTTCACTGAAAATATATGCTTGGAAGTATGCACCCCTAAGTTACATGTTTCCACATTGTTTATGTAGTTAACATCTGCTGTCAGTTTCATACAATAATTTTTCTTTTCAGATATATCACAGGTGTACTCAAGAATGTGACATAAAATCACATCAAAGCAAATAAAGTTAATGTTGGTTACTGTAGTTGTTACTATTTATTAATGTAGCTTTAACGTTTCTACTCCGTTCATTTCTGTTTCGGTTACCATTCATCCGAAATAATTACTTCCTTTATTTATTTGTTCATCTAGTAGTTAATAGTATTAATTTGCTATGGAAATGGAGATTGTAACAAATGAGCTCAGCTTGTCCTTTTGTTGTTTCATGTAAGAACCGCAACAAATGAACATATTGTATATTAACGGTTTTAATTATTGATAAATACTATATTTATTGTATTTATTTAATTGCTATTAATTAAAATAAAAACTATACTGTTTCATTTTATTAAAAATGTCACTGTTCATTTAAACATTTTTGGTTCATAATGCTGAAAAAACTTCTAAAGTTAGAGCAAGTATCAGATTGCAAGTTACGAATATCAAAGAACCTTTATTGGTTTCTAAAAGCCTAGTTTATATTTGTTATAATCATCTAAAACCTACATTTATCCCCTTGTGCTAGTGAATATGCACGCATTTGAAACATGCTATAAATTTGCAGCAGTGTACATTTTTATTCTTGAAAATTTCATATGCATGGTTTTGACAAGAATAAAGAGAACAAACTCTGGATGCATAGATGCTTTGAAATATCTGGATTTGTTCATGGTTTAATACTTTCATTTCTTTAAGCTATCAATAATATGGTGTCTTCTATTAATAATTCCATAGTTTAGTGTATTTATGCATCTAATAAGCTTAGTACAGAAGGTGGTAAAAGTGAATGCAGATTTGTTCAGCAACTTAAGTGGCAGTTATCTGCAGCAGATGAGTTTTTACTCTCAAGACATGAAAATCATGAGGTTTGAACATCAATAGGTAAACCCCTCCTCGGCCTTATCCATCATATGTTTGCAGTATAGTTGCTAGGCAAATTAAATGCTTGCAGGAAATAATTTAAAGTTTCTATATACTGTTAAGGAACGAAAACTCATTGAGTGAACCGATTCAAGTTTTCTTGGATTAGTTGGTGTCTAAGGCAAGGTTTAAGGGTTGCGTAACGCGCTCTGCAAGGAACGAGGTACTTAATTGATCTTTGATCAACCTCTATTACTATCCTTACCTGGCTAACTACCCGGGTAAAACTTTAATTTTTTCACTTTAGGAGTTTTTGGTTTGGAATAAGAGGACCGGAATTATGAGAAAAATTCATATGCATTTATTTAATTACGTTTCTTGCATCATATATTGCCTAATGATAAATGATCAATATATGAGCGAACAAATCAAAGAGGTGCATTTTTTAAAATTCTATTTTATACGGTGGATTATATTTCAAACCTTCAAATGTAAAGTTTATATTGTAATAAATGTTCATATGTCTTTTTAGATAACTTGCATTTGTTACATGATTAATTACAAGGTTTTATGCAAGAATGCACTTGTAAAATTTAAAGCACGAGCACGTATGTACAATTATTATTATTATTTGTATAAGAGGTGGTACTAGAAAATAGCAACATAAATTTGGAAGGTCTCCTTTGTAGACAACCAATTTAAATTTGGAAGGTCTCATTTGTAGGCAACCGATTTAAATTTGGACGGTCTCCTTTGTAGGCAACCAATTTGTAACCTCTTATAATAGAAGAATTTTAAAAATTTTATGCATTTGAATTATGAAGTATGAAATATATTTTAAGATACGAAATCCTATTATGCTCTGCATGTATCTATTATTAATTTCATTCATGTATGTGCATATGCATAACTGCAGAATTTTTAGTTCCACATTAGTTTGAAATGTTCAGATATTAAGGTCAATCTCTTCAGACATAGACTATGATCTTTTATGATCATAGATCATGACCTAATGTCAATTTCAAACAATATAATGGACTAATTATAAAATAAGAACTTGATAAATAAATACAACGCCTGCTAGGTAAAGTTGTGATTCTAGACTTTATAAAGTCTGTGAAAAGAATCTTGTTGATCCTTTGACTAAGGGATTATCCAGGAGTGTGGTTCTGGATTCATCGAGGGAGATGGGGTTAAGCCCATAGATGAGGTCACTGACAGCGGCAACCCAACCCTTATTTGGAGACGTAGTCCCAATGTCGGTTCAATGTGGTAGAAACAAGCTGGACTAGTGACACTCGTGTGGAGCATCGACCTAGATATAT